CTGCTGTGTAAAATTCCTTATATTCTAGTAATGAGGTTTTACCTTTAACAGTGGCTCCCAATCTTTTTTTTTTTTTTTTTTTGACTGTGGCCCAGTGGGAGTGGGAGTGGGAGTGGGCTGTGGCGTGCGGAGCTGGCTGCCCCCCTCCCAGGGCTGCCCCACTGCCCAGCTTTGACCCCAGAAGCTCAGCTGAGACTCCAGAAGCCATTCGCCTGGGTGAACAGACTGGGCTTTGAGCAGGGGGGCCTGTGCCACGACCCTGCAGCAGGTACCAGGCCACGGCGGGTTGGGTCGTGGCCTGGTGTTTGGGAACCTCTGACCTAGAATACCTTGGTACTTTGTGGACTACAACCCAAATCCTAGGTCACTGGGTGAAAAAGAAATACTACCAAGCAGTTAAATAAAACTAGCTAGACATTATTACACTGGATTGACTACAAATGAAAGCAGCAGGGCCAACAAAATGCACTCAGAAAGCTTCTGCAAGGGGTTAGACCCTGAGTTCAGTCCAGAAAAATAATTAAACAGATGCTTAACTTTAAGTACTTCTGTATTCCCCTAATGACATCAGTGGGGCTTCTCATGAGCTTCAAGCCAAGCACGTGCTGAAGCATCATGCTAGACGTGTACCAAAGTGCTCACCACTTTGCAAACCAAGCCCTACTGCACCAAGGCCTCGTGAAGGCTTTCCACTTGCGGTGGGAGAAAAGCTTTTCTCCTGGCACAAACAGAGCCGTACAGAAATTCAAGAGATTTCCTATGGAAGAGAACTGGCTCTTCCTCAAGAAGTTAGACCAGATACCTATAAGGACGATATACCTCCTCCCAATCTCACGTGAACACCTGTACACATCTCTTGGGTGTGGAGGACACCCACTATCCCACAGCACCTCTGTTCTCCCTCCCTACAGAGAGAGAGAGAGAGAGAGAGGAGGAGGGAGGGAAAGCACTGGCTCCCTGACGGCCCACCCAAGGGCGAGCTATCTGGGAGTCCTTAGGGATCTGCACAGGAAAATTACCCCCTCTCCCACCACTCAGCTGGTTTGGGGAGGAGGATTTCCCACCAAGGGAACACTCTAGGAATGGGCCCCCCTCTGCCCTCAATCACCTGATTGGTAACGGGGAGGCATCCTCCTGCAGCCGCAACCCTCCCAGAAGGGGTTTACGCCCCGGCAGACTGTCTCCACTGCTCTGAACCAGAACAGGAGTGCAAGGAGCCGAGACTATTCTGCAGCGAAAACCAGGAGGGCTCCCACACGGAAGAACATTCCCCTCTCCTGCCAGTCAGCTGATGGGCCGGGGGGGTGAGGGGGCATTCTCCCTGGGCTGTCTCCCAATTGACAACTGCCAGCTGAGAGCCAGCCCGCTTTCCAGGAAGGAGGGAGGGCAGGCTGGCAGCTGATGGACACTCCTGAGGGTGAGGGTGGCCCGGGGAACAGTCCTCCAGTGCCCCCTGTGCACCTACGAAGCTCTCCATCAAGGGAGCTGAAACATATGTGCACTCCAGCTCCCAGGCTATTTTTCTACTGGTAAGAAATTCTCTGTACAGCATGTAATATCTGGACTTCATATCATTCATCCCCCAAAGGGAAGCAGATGCAGTTCTTGGGGCAGAAAGTCACAAGCCAAAGCTGCAATAAACAACTTCCCCTGGTAGCCAGTGTGTTGGAATACCCCTGCACCTTCAGCAAAAAAAAGACCTGGGTCTTGCCAAAAATAATTTCCCATGCAACTCTGCAGGTAACGAACGTAGGGTAAACCCTAGCCATGTGTTTTCTGTCTTTATAAATACATTCAGAAATACTTTGGCTAAGGAAGACTGATTCACAAATTTTACCATCCTTAACAGGAACAAAGAAATGAGAAACCTTGCCTAACTGATATGTATCAAAATCTTTCCCAGTACCACTTTGCTCACATTCCTTTCTGAAACAGGCTATCCAATATCTGCTATAACTTTAAATATGTGTTCTGTTCTCTCAATTTACTACATTCAAATAATCAAAGGAAACCTGAACTTTCAAATTGCTTTCATCTTACCTGAAAAAGATTTGGGAGTACTTGTTTCTTGGCTAGGTGAGATTGTACGTGATCTACAGCTTGCTTTGAGAACGGCTTTTGAAAAATAAAAATATTGATTTTAAAACAAACATTTGAAAAAGAAGTATTTGAAATCTTAATCACGGATGCCAAAACTTCTTGCAGGAAGCCATCGATAACATAATTTCTTTTGGAACTTTTAAACAAACTGCCTGCCAACATTTAATTATACAATGCAAAACTAATTTCAAGAAAGAAAGGACATTAAAGAGGAGAAAATGACCAAGTATTTGTCAATCTAAAAGTGGTTTTTTAGGTTGTTGTTTTTTTCAAACTGCACTCTTTCACCCTAATCCTGGCAAGCACATGCATTTAACATCACGCAACAGCAGTCCCACTGACCTGTAGATTACTACTTACAGATGAGAAAAACTACGTGTAAAATGTTTGCAAATTTAAGTCCCTATATAAGAGAAATGGGTCTTGCTGAAATCTTATAATTATTTTACGAACTCTTTCAAATATGTCCACCTTGAATAAAACAAAAAAAGTGTCACTGTGCAATCAGTAGAAGCTACTGCCATGAAAGATACTGCTGTTACCTCGAGTTCTATGCAATTCTCTGGTCAGACCTTTACTTATTTACTATCCTTTCATTAAAGAACCTTGTTAGGAACTTAAAGTCGAAGTGAAATTTTTAAATTTTTAAAAACTGAAATTGCAGAAAACACATACATGTGAGCAGGAAAGCAGCTCCTTCATTATGTACATGTCGTAAATCTGTCGACTTCTGCTACAACGCTCCTCCTCAGAATCCAGTTTTTCATATTCTTTTATCTGTAAGAAAAGAAAGGAAGGAACAAATCAACAGAGCTAATTAAAGTCTTTATTTAAGAAAAAAGGGTTTTCACTTTGACAGAATCCTTATTCCCTTTCATCACGCTCTCAGTGCAGTCAATTGTGGTGGTGTTGGTTTTGACTCTACAGTGAAGGTGGACTCACAAGTTTCATTCCATCCCTGTGTACGTTGGGATTTGTTTGCCAAATGTGTTTCTCAAAATGGGGTACAAGTTTATCTGAAAAATGTGAAAAATGCCAAATTAGAGGCACATATGCTACTTAATAAAGCACTAGTTGTCTTGTAAACTGTGCAGAAAGGATGAGCCTGAGACTGTAAGGGACCTGGTAGGTAAAGGAACATGGATGTGACTGATTATTTTGGAAGAGGCATAAAACTGCTGCTTTTCTTCACTGATAAATGATGGCCCTGTGCTCCTTTCTTATTCGGCACCTGCAGGGCAAGCAAGAAGAGCCATTACCCTGGAAGCAAAGCATGCAAAGTTTTCACACTTAGCAGGAGCACTGCAATATTGTAGACACAAACACAAATGCACACCCTACTTAGACATAGGAAGTGGAACAAAATACAGCGGACTTCAACACAGTGTTTGAGAGGGATGAGAGCACCTCATCTAACAAAGACTGCTAACTAAAAATACCGACATTTTAGACTCTGCAAACATCTTAGTGGTAACACCTGAATGCTAACGATGACTGGCTTTTCCTTCCTTTCTTTTTCTTTAAAAGTGATGGCAGAGTCCTAGTCCTAGGAAAAAAAAATGCACTTGACTCCCGACAGGCTTAGTACAGGAAACCAAATCACCCCATGCTATGGCAGCAGTACAATTGCAATCCCACCTGGCTATCCTCACAGCACAAGCTGATTGCATGCCGTGTTATTTTTGGAACAGATAGGCTTTCCAAGCATGTGTTAGCAAACGGGCACTGTGAGAGGCATTCAGGCCTCTCAATGGAATGAGCTGAATCAGTAATATCAATCTCTTTAATCAGTTACCATGGAAAAGAGATTTCTGTGCTTGCACCAGCTTCTTAAAATGCTCAGAGTGGGAAACAAACTGTGCGCCAGGAAGGAGCCACTGCAATTAGATCCTTTTAAGGACAAATGTGGCATTATAGGTATCTTGTATTTCAAGAATTTCTAATGCCCATTTCACAGTACAGTCTCGCTATTGGTCTGGGTTACTACCAAGCATTACCCCAAAGGTTCCACTGGCAATGTTAAATCAACTTGATTACATTGTGGTATTTATAATCCCACCTATCGTCAAATCTGTGGGCCCGATGCATGAGGTCAGGCTGTGCGGAGTCAGCATGAAGGGCAGCACCATACCTAGACTCTAGTCTGCCCTGAGCAAACTTTCAGTATTGGGCCCCCCTTCGCCAGAGATAATGATAATTATAAAAAAAAATTACTATTTTCAGGCCCCCTTTCTGTCCGGGTCCTGGGCAGCTGCCCTGTTTGCCCATGCTCATGTCTGGCCCTGATGAGGGGTAACTCCAGAGGTGTGATCTGGCATGCCAGTCCAGCCCCCCAACCCATCGGATTCCCCAGGGTCCAGAAATGTGGTGGCGAGGGAAGGGTGGCAGAGTTAATTGCTGTAGCAATCTGCAATCAACTCTGCCAGCACTCCCCCACTGCCAAATTTCTGGCCCCCTGGGGAGCTCCACGGGCCAGATCCGGCCTGCAGGCCACAGGCTGGGCACCACTGTGCTAGAAAAACATCATTCCAGTTAAAGACGTGAGAATCCTGCAAGGAAAAAGAAATGATTACCTGGTTCTAACTACTGCCACTTCCACAACCTTGGTCAAGTGAGCAAAAGTCCTAATACTGCGCAAAGAAAAGAAAGCATTGCCTCCACCAGCTCTGGGAGACAGAAGGACCTTTACTGCTCCAGGAGACCCAAACCCCAGAGTGCGTAAACACTCTGGTCTAATGTAGTAAGACAATATCAAAGAAAAGACAGTATTTAAGGATAAACTCCAGGTTTTCTGTTGCTCTCACACAGCAACTTATAAAAATCCATCAGTGTAGTCAGGAAAGCAGCAATGCACCATCCTATCTAAACTCTACTGCAGAGAGCCCCGGACTCCATCCCCGCAGCACGGCCTACCGTAAAAAGACTGCCCATCTAGGAACTCTGTTTGAGAGAAAAGTTCTTCAGTGCAGGAGTTTTCAGGAGCACATCAGAAAAACAACAGTGCTACCAAGGAAGAGAGGAGGAGGACTGGAGAAGTAATCTAAGAGCCGCAGGAAGTGCTTCAGTTTAGATTTCCTGGACTTCCTTATCACCCATCAGTAAAGTACCAGGATCCAAATGAAGCACTGGGTGTGTCTGTCCACCTGCTCATTAAATCAAGAAAATCAAAGTACTCCAGGACTGAGACTCTGCCTGGCCCTGGTTACTGCTTCTTTAAGCAGGAACAGACATCACTTCTGGACCCACAGAGTAAAGGCTGCACAAGTGATGTAGCTCCCACGCACGCGTCCGTCATCGAGACAAACACTGGCCGGGCCAATCGGTTTCTAACTGGAGATGTCACATAGTCCAGACCCTGAAGAAAGCTCCCATAAAGATGAACAAAAGCCAAGGGTCCATGACAGCCACCAAATGCATTTAACAAGTGGCAAAAGCAATTTGAGACTTAAAAGAAAACAAGTAATTCAGCATCCTAAGATTATTAAAACAATTACTAAATGAGGGTGGGGTTTGAGTGTACACCTTCAAGGAACACCGACAGGTCAACACCTATCTGTAATTAAGAGAAAAAACACTGTGGTAGCAGGGCCACATATTTCCTAGTCCCCTGGAAAGCGCTGGAGCTGTAGTTCACCTTCAGCAACACTATCTGACAATGTTTCTTTTCAAATGCTGAAATTAGAATGCTTTAGATTTCAAGCATGTAAAAAAAAAAAATGATTTTTGACAGAGCTGGATGACTCACTCATCCAGTTAAATGCTTCTTCGTGACTCACGTTGCAACAACACGAGATCCCTCGAGTGTGGAACCTTTTTACATCTCACAGGTTTTTCTGTAATGATTTATTCAAATTATTCTACCTGAAGCTAATGTGTTGGTAAATCAACTACATAAAAATTGCAAATCTTTCAAACCTAATATTTTAAAGAAGGAAACAGATTCAACCTCTTTTTAAATACATTTCAGGGATCTTTTTCTAAATATATACTGCATGGCATTCAAAGTATTTTTTTCAATACAATTTAGGTCAAATGTTGTTAAGTATCCTTAAAAGGCACTTGAAATGGTTTCAGAAGTAATGAAGCAGTCACGCCATAACAGGTTTTTCTAAGCAATCTGTTAATACCTGACTTCTTGGTTTGCTGCTAGTGATTTCTTAAATATATAAAGAGATGGAAATGGTGGTAGAGAACGTTGTTCAGTCTGCCTCCTTATGAGGCACATAATCTCTCATTTGTGTTACCTTTATAGTTAAGAAATTACCTTTAGACAGACAGTGGGGTTTGTTTCTTGGTTTTTTGTCTCATTTTGGTTTTTGCTACAAGAACTCTAACCCAGCATCCAAGGGAGCATTTCTTATAAAGGGATAATCCCAAACAACAACTACAAACAATCCAAAATAACACAGCCCACATTCAGAAACCATGCATATATATTTTCACGGAAGCTAAACTCTAAAGAGAGAATGATAAAAAGCAGCCCTGTGTTCAGAGTAGCCTCTGCTACACCAGCAAACAGATCTGGCTCTGAATTAATACAAGAATAATTATGCCTGCAGAATATTCTCAAACGAGCAGTGGTTGGGTCTTTCCTGAGGAAGCCATTACTTGACATTAGTGCCTTTGCCAATTACTCTCCCATCTTGAACGTTCCCTTTTTAGAAGTTCATACAAGGACAATACTAACTTAATTTGGAGAGGTCTTCCTGATGCATTAGATTCCTAGCGCTATGACTTTGTTGGGTTTGGTACAAAAGCGGCATTGACAGCCTCCTAAATCAAGCTCTCTCCTCCTGAAAACTGCTCAGGCTTTTCTTTTAGTCAGTTTGCAAGTGACAAGACTTTTTAATTCTACCACATAGAGGACGCATCTACACGTACCAATTTAAGCCGCTTTAGCCCGATTAAAGGCGCATTAAGGGCGCGTGTCTACACGTGCACATCCTTAATACACCTTTAAAATGGTGATTTTAGGCTCTTCGCACCTACATTTGATACCTGCAAAAGCAGATATCAAATTTAGGCGCAAATAGCTAAAGTGCTTTAATGCACATGTAGATACACTAAGGCACATTAACACTGTGTATGTCAACTGATTTAGGACTAACTTTAATCCCAAATTGGTCCACACAATGTTAATGAGCCTTAGTGTGTACACGTGTAGATGTACATTTAAATCGCCTTACTGTGCATTAGGCAAATGCACGTTAAAGTTTAGATGTGCATAAAAGCACATGTAGACATGCCGACTGTTACAGCTTGCAAAAACATCAAACAACCATTTTCATCAGGGTTCTTAAAACTCCGCATGCTAAACACTCAGGTCCCCCTGAATTCCCACCTACTTGAACAGCAGCAGCTCATATCTCATTAGCAGTTACAAAAATACCCTTTAACCCCTTTCGAAGCAAAAAGGCAGCCCTCCGGGAGGGTGCATCTGCAGTGATACAGGTCAGCTAAACCTCTCTAACCCTGACCTTAGATGAAACAGGGTTGAAGTGGCAGTCATTTTGCTGCACTTGTATAATCACAGAACTGTGAAGAAGCAACAGTCGCATCATACCCCCTTCCCCTGGTGTCCTTTTTGATCTCCGTTACATCTGTCTATGCCCTAAATGGTTAGGTGATGCCAATGTCCCCACTAAACCAATTCATCCCGGATGCTGCTGCAGACCATTCTTCCGGACTGGTGTGCTGCTTCTATTTATACTGCATGCAGCAGCCCTGCTGCTTCATGCAGTGAGCCGGCGTGAGCATGCTGATCCTACGATCTACCCAATGCGCTGGCTGGGCTGTGCATATGCTCCTGACTGCATGCCAAGGTGGTAGCTTGAATCTGCAAGTAAAAGCAGCTAGCTTGCGTGGGACATGAGTACTTTAAGGACTGCTTTTCTCTCCCTATGCGCTATTATCTCAATGGAGATCAACTGAAGTACTTTTGTTGACAGTCTCTAAACATAGGCTTCAAAAGACTGGAGGCAGGATCCCTGATTAAAGAGCTTGAACTCTCTGGGGAACCTGCCAAAGCTCAAATTTCTTAACTTCTGAGCACCCGGCGTGCCCCCTGTTTTCAGCCAATTCTCCAATGAATGTGTCTTAATTTTAACTTTCTTGACTTACTTTCTGATTTCTGGGTTGCCAACCTTTGTTGCCATAGTAAAGGCAGTGTTCAAAATAGCTTAGGGTTCATCCTTTTCTTCCTTATATAAACAAGTCCCTAATCAGTATGCAGCTCTGTTCTCATCACCAGAAAATTATTATTTATTTCTTTAGCTGATATCTTCAGAAATATGACAACAGTTTCCCTGTTAGAGCCTGATCCAACAAGCACATGAACACATGCTTTGCTTTAGGCACGTGAGATATCGCGCTGAAGTCAGCTAAGTGCTCATGCTTTGCTAAAGCATCTGGTATGCTTGCTTAATCATTGCAGGTTCTCTTTTATAAACCTGCATGGTCACTGATGCACAGTAAATCATGCCCAAATTCTTGCTGTAACTGTATAACACTTTATTTGGGTTTCAGCTCCTTTTGATTTAAGGAAGACACCTTCCAAATTCCAGTGGTAACTGGCAAATGTTAAAAGCTTTTCTGCTTCTGTTATCTTCATCATCTCAGCAACTGAAGATCAAAAGCATGCCCTTCTCTTGTTTTCCAAGAATATCTTGGCATCAGCAGATTTTCAAACATCAGAAACATTAACACGTGGACACGGAGATGAGGCAGTTCCACTTATTTCACACAAATCCTAGAATTCCCAAAGCCAGAACAGACTCGTTTTGATGCAGTACAGAGTTTAAGACTGTAAAGGATGTGCACTACTTTCTTAAATGAATCTCAGAAAGCAGAGTTCAAAAGATCACTCCGCGCAGATCTTTCTGTCAGTGTACAATGGTTCACCTAGCACTCTGTCCAAAGTGCTTTAAGTGTCTCCCACCTTGCAGATCCTATGGCATTTGAATACTTTGCATGTAGATTAATAGTTAAATAATAATGTGCAATAAGGCCAGATCCTACCTGGGAGCCTCTGTATTCTACTGCAAAACACAGACTAAGTAATAATAAAAAAAAGAAGGAAATGTATATACGAGTCTTCTTAACAACATCAACGGAAATCATAGATGTGCTTTAAAAGGCAAAATAAAGATGCTAAATGCAACAGTTTAAAAGAACATAGCATTTACTGTTCTTCATTTTTATTCTGTTTTAATGAATTTGTAAGAGGTAAAGAAAAACTAGAGGCCCTACAACCTTGAGGAGTCCAGCCCAAACCTCATTTTCAATTGCAGCGTTAGCATGAGTCACAGCATCCAGCAAATGTTGGCTATATGTCTGGCTTCCCTCCAAGGCAAAATAACTTCACTGTAGTCTCAGAAAAAACAGAATTAATAACCCTAAACCTATTCTAGTCACAGTTATGATTCTCCCCCTCCCAGAAGCCTGCTGGTATTTTTCAAGTTTTCTTTGAGCACAAAGATCTGATGAATGCTAATATGGCTGTCTCAACTGAGGTAATTTCTCTCTCATCATCATCGTTTCCATCAGCCAGAAACTTCTACACCCCAATGGCATTAGGATACCAAAAACTAAATATGCCCAATAACTCGCCAAGGGCAGGAATCCATTATAACTCTACTTCTTCAAATGTTTGATTAATCAATTTTTAATTAAAAGGCTGAGTCCCGATATGTGCAAACAGCAACACAGGTCAAATCCAAACAAGCAACATAGATTTCTCCTTTCAGCCTCCTATTTTCCAAATCTTAGTGTGGTCGTTACCAATATAACAAGAAATCACTGCAATGATCTTAAAATGTACATTTGTTAAAAACCGTACACCCTTCTTACCTAACCTCACTCCCAGGCATAAACACGTACGCACACAAACACGCCAGTCTTTTTAGTTTTGTCCCAGACAACAGCAATTCAGCTTCTGAAATACAGCACCAACTGAAGATAAAAGGTTGCTTACCTCTTCATAAAACTTCAGCTGAGGCACAGCTTCATCAATCTCATTCATACAGTAATCTTTAAAAAGTAAAAATCCTAAAATAAATAAGAAAAAATAATACTTAAAAAATGGAAACATTAAGTAAAAGGCAATTTCCAGACAAGGGCATAAACTAATCAGCATTTGGATTGGGGGGGGGTTTCTCCTCCTGTAAGCACTCCTAATTGCTTGTGTTCATTAATTACAATGCTTAGATGTCTGTACAATCATTTGAAAATATATCTAACGCATAAGTAGTGCTATAAGCTCCCCTCCCTTTCATACATACAGTTGCATTAAACAATGCTGGGTTTTACCTATCATCACTTTTATAACACGTTGACCTTTATGCACTGGAATTGTTCATGTCTGGTCTGCCATCTAATGTGATTGTTTCTAACTCAGTGTCCAAAAGAAATTTTGAGAATTGCACAAGTATAAACAGAAATTATTGATAGTTTCCTATTTTAATAGGTCTAAAACACACAATATAGCAATAAACCATTTTAATCCATTTTTGTAACCTCCCAGTGCTTGTATCTTGTGGCTACTAGCACCCACTAATTCAGATACATTTCACAACATTCCAATCGAGTTAAATTCCCATCTAGGAAAATGTATGTCACACAGACTAGAGCGGCCACATTTAAAAATCTTTACAAATGTATTTGAAAATAATTCGAGTAAACTGTTTTAATTTAAAAAAAAAATAAAACCTCTGTTCAACACTCCAACTGTTTTTATGTATGGCTCAGATGATATCTGCCACCATGAACTATCTTTTGCCTAGCTTAATGTGGACATCTGTTCCCAGAGCTAATTGCCTTGGTTATCTAAAAGACTCTGGAAGCTGTAAATGCACGTGCTTGTAGTTCATTTCAGCAACGAATGCCCTTCCTTATTTGGTCTCACTAAGCACACACTGGCATTTCACCAGCTTCTGTAAGTAGATAAGAGCATGAAAGTAGAAATTCAAATAATAAAGCAAGCCAAACTGAGACATAATTAACAGTTATTCATAGATAATCACAGTTCTTATTACCTGCTGCAAAATACTTCCCTACATTTTTTTTTGGACTCCGTTTTCCATCGACACGAATGGTAAAACTTCAGAAGGGGATCAAAACGTTCCTGCTTAATACATGCAGAGAAAGCGGAGCTGCATCAAAGACATTACATGCAGCATAAACAAAACTGACCCTGGCTGCTTTTCTTTCACTAGGCAAATCCAGGGCAGGGGAAGGCTCTCATAAATTATAGGCCAAGGAGCAAATGAAAACCATAAATATTATCTTCAAAAAAACTACTAATAGTAGACAAATAACCCATTATTACATATACTCACAGAAATATTTGTTTGTATGGAAGAAAATTTTCCAAGAAACAGGATTAGGACCAGTAAAAATGAATGGGGGGGGTCAAAGAAAAACATGCATCTAGGACTGAGTGAATCAGCCCTCAATTAAAAGGTTCTGCATCAATGGCTGTAAATGCCATGCTAATGAGATCACAAATCCAACTCTACCCAGAACTGCTTTATTTACTCATTTCACATGCTTTGTGACCCACTCTGAAGCCCACTGAAATTAACAGACTCTTGCTCTTCACATCAATGGGAACACAACTCAAAGCCCAGAACGTAACCCCAGAAGCCACACTGAGAAGCAAGGGGTCAGACAAATTAATTAACAAGGCTGCCCAAATATGACTGAAGCTCTCCCTGACCTTTCTGAAACTGCAGCTCTGCTAAAGAATTCAAATTTTCAGCTTATTCCAATGAGAAACTCTAAAGAGACAGCAGCAAGGACATGGCCCAGGAAGAAGAGAAGCAAGGCTTGTTGTCAGTATTTTTTATAGGACCTATATCAGGGATGGGCAAAATGTGGCCTGCCAGGCCATTCTATCTGGCCCACAGGGCCCCTAAAAAGTTTAGAAAATTAATACTTATATACTCCTGGCTGCCTATCACGTGGCCCTCAATGGCTTGCCAAAACTCAGTAAGCAGCCCCCCACCCAAAATAATTGCCCACCCCTGACGTATATAGTTGGGAGAAGTTACACAAGCCTGGAAGGGCTTTGCGTATCTGAAAGCTCAGCTAACATCTCTCCCAACAACACAGTTAGTCCAAAGAAAGTTATTACCAGCAGCAAGGAAGTCATTTTTTGACAATGTTTGAAGCACACAAAAGTCAATTTTGAACATGGCGAAAGGTAAGGTTTCTGCCATCAACTTGTAACAGCAGCACTGAGATGGGTTTAAGTCTTTGGCTGAGGGGATGTCTGCAGGAATTTCACATTTGTGGAGAGAGGAAACAGGTATCTTGTATCCAAGCCTTACGCTTAGTGGAGTATGCATTAAAATAGTCTTGTCCTCACATACTGGCACAGAAAACCTGGCTACTTCTCCCGGCTCCACAGCGCCATATTTTCAGTACCTGTAAAGGAACTTTCTAGAACCACGTCTTTATACTGCTGTGCAAGAGGCAAGGACCTCTTCGGGCAGTAGTTTTATTGGACCAACTATGTAGGTGGAATAGAGCAAAACTGCCTTGCACAGTTGGTCAAGAAATTATGTGGAGGCAAGGATTTCTTAGGGCGATGACTTTTGTTGGACTATCACAGTTACAACACGACTCTTACACGATTGGAAATTGCAGTCCGACCTCAAGGTATTAGAGTAATCCTTGGTACACCCAACTGCAATCTCCACAGACAGTAAAAAATAGCTTTAAGGGCAAAAAGTAATAGCTGCAAAAGGCAAGCTAACCAGTAGACTGTCACACATGCACGGGACGGAAGAAACCTCCGTGTCCGGTGCACCATGGATACCGATCCTTGGATCTTCTTTATTCACCCAATAGGTGGCAGCAAATGGCCTCTGGAAATGACCTTGTACTTCTACAGCTGGCAGAGCTCTTCCCATCCCCAAGCTCCTCAAGGCCATGCCAGGATTGCCGCAGCCAGAGGAACGATCGGTCTCTAACTTACGCACTTTTCTTTCAGGACTTACATGACTTCCTAGCGGTTTTAAACATTAAATCCAAAAGCATAAACTTCTAAGCACACGTTTGTATTATTCAGACTTGCTTCCTTTCAACAGTCTCTATGACCTCATTAAGTAGCAGGATTCAAAAGACCACAAATACTACTCACTTATTATTTCAAGCTTTATTAGCCATTTAACAATGGAAAACTTGTTAAACTGGCAGTCTTACCTATGGATACTCTCCGTTACGGTGTGTATTTATACGGAGCTCGTAGAGAAGAGACGGAAAATACAACACAATGGAAGACAACTTACTGAATACAAGAAAGGTATTTTTAAGTATAAAATTGAAAGATGCCTTTTAAAAGTTGATTGGATGTCAGTCCTGATTAATTTAGCAGTGAACCACTACATAAAAGCGATATTTGGTCTATTCTGTAAAGCCTCAGCACATTTCAGCTTTACTCTGTTTTGCATTAGGCAGAGACATGCATAGCAAAGGATCAGATAGGATTTATATTTCTATTTTCAGTTTTATTCTCAACAGAGTTCTGCTTTAATTAGGGGCCAACTAAGTATCATGAAAAAAATTTAAACAGATATGTTTTCAACTGAACAATTATGAAAACAGTTCTTGTGGCTGCACCTCCATTTGCAAAACAAAATGGAAATAGCTGCATTTGAAATGAAAAAGGAACGTTTCAACACAGCAGGTGTTATATTAAATGACTTTTAAAAATTTAAAGAAACAATGATACAATTTAAACAGAGCACTGTTAACATTAATCTTGATTAGGCCCATTTTAAAACCACACACAGTGAAAGCTTTGCGTTTTCCTGAGAAACAACTTAATCTGCAATTATTTAACATTCGGTGATGGAACCTTAGTCAACCCCACCAAAAATGCCAGAAACACCATATTATTTATTCTTCTTTTCCCTCACTCCAGGAAAATTTCCCTGTACTATTCCACTCTCGACATGAAACCAAATGTGATAAACCTCTTCCATCACAAACAATGCATTCAGTCCATTTTTTATCACATAGTAAATAGTTTCCTAACATTATCTTTCCATGTACACAACTGCTGGAGGTGCCACAGGCGCATTACAGGAAAGGAAGGGAGCCATGCAAATCACATATGAAATTGGATGTGGCTCACAAGAGACCATTAACACGTCTCACAATATGAAAAATCCTGAAAACTGCTAGAATACAATATTAGCTTTGTAATGTGCTCAGACATACTCACTGAAAGACAATGTGGCATTTACCGTTGGCTCGGTTGGCAGCCCGGCTTTGTTTACCTTTGCAAATACTCGAGAGGGAAAATGCTGCAATTTGCCTTTGCAATGCGTCTCTTATCAGAGTGGATGTGTCATTTTCCAACATACACATATCCCTTGGATTTGCATTGGTGATAGAGAGGAGAAGAGATCACTTCTGTCCCAATTAAAAGAAAGCTAATTTTTTTATAAAGTATAGCACCTATTTCCTAATGCACAGGAAAATAGTTTGCTATTTTTTTCTTATTGATTTATATGTTTTTCATACACAAAAATTTGATCCACATAGTCATATATTATAGCCTGACAAGAACATATTGGCCTGAAGTCATACAGCTTTCAAAAGGGGCATTTAACCTAAGATGTTCCAGAGCTTAGCTACAACATACAAAAAAGTTGTTAAAAGGTAAAAAAATGACAAATAGCATTCTTAGCCAGACCAAAGAACAGGAGAAAACATTTCATAATCACAACTTCTTACTATCATAAAAGATAATTTGTGGTCTATAAAATGATACACCATTGAATTAATATACCCAGCTTACCAAATCTTAATTGTCTATAACATACATCAAAAAAGTCCATCACCCAACGTGATGCATCATCTCCGCCTTCACGTTACTGCATATTACAAAAGCAATCAAGCCAATCACAAATACAATCTTCTTCAAAGTGCCCCCATTTGAGGACAGATGAGGAATAATATCAGAATATACACAGTATTCTTTTCTTGCTTCCATCAAAAGCAAACTTACTGTCAGCCACCGGAAAACCAGTTACTCA